GTTGCAATTTATATTGCAATCTATTCCAGTAAAATGGTTCCTACGTCACCCTCGATACGATGCTTCTCGTAAAAAATCTGAAAAGAAATACATTTTCATAGTTATATATTTTGTTTCCATTAAAATGTTGCGAATAAAAATACTTGAAAGATGACGTACCCCTAAATTTGGAAATATTTTTTCATTCAGGAAGCTGTAAACAAAAATGGTAATTTCTTTGAATTATAATAATAATAAAGTGAAAGTACGATCGACATAATATTCAAGCGTGCGTGTACTCTGGCCAACGAAATTATTGATTTTATCACGATCAATGGATACGATAGAGCGAAAAGCAGATTTTTCGTTTAAAGGAAAATCGTCTGAACGTACCATTTTGCATCGAAGTCGAGTTTCATCGGTGTAATTGGAAACGTGGTTCGATTCAACAATGAACTGGACACTGGTGTGCGTATGGGTACTGCACTTCCGGCTCGAGTCGCATAGCGGTTTGCACTTTATCGCAAAACGATTGCGAGCGTGATTAACCACTAGTAAGCAAATCCCTCGGCCTTTTGTTCTTTCCGATCTTATCTTATAGAAGGAATTAAGTTGTACAGAATACACGTCCAAGCGAAATGGATGTTTGTTTGAAGAGTTACGCGCACTTGGATCGTTTGGAAACCACAATTTTGGTCATTTTGCACTTTATATAATCAGCAAAAACTATTTTCTACGCGTTATGCCTAGAATTCTACAATCTTTGTATATTTGTTTAATAAATACAGAGCAAATAACATTACTTTTATCGATATTAAAGAAGCAAATGTCTTCCCCTCTTGGAATGTTATTTTACATAATTTCTAATGACATTTTTATTTAAAATTGTACAAATGTCGACACTTTGACATATTTATTTACTATCCTAGTTTATTACAGTACCAATACTATTGTCTACCCTTAAGATACTCAAATAAAGTACACTATAATATATTATAAATTCAGGGTATTTGGCCAACCTTGGGAAAATTTTAATGAGAGATTCTAGAGACCAAAATAAGACGAAAATCAAGAATACCAATTTGTTGATGGACGCTTCGTTAAGAAGTTACTAATTTTTAAAGTTCCATACCGACTGCAAAATTTTTCGGCGAACAAAAAAAATTTCAAATCATTCTGGAAAAAATATTTTTAGTTCCAGGGGTCAATTGCAATCATTTTTGGTGAACAGACATATCCACGAAATCCTAACCATTTTTGAGAAAAAAATTTAATAAGTGGAGAATTTTTTCGACAAAATTAAAAACTTTCGAATCATTCTGGAAAAATTATTTTTGGCTGCAGGGGCCAATTGCAATCATTTTTGGTGAAGAGACATATCCCCGAAATCCTAACCATTTTCGAGAAAAAAATTCAGTAAGTGGAGAGTTTTTTCGACAAAATTAAAAATTTTCAAATCATTCTGGAAAAAATATTTTTAGTTGCAGGGGTCGATTGCAATCATTTTTGGTGAATAGACATATCCACGAAATCCTAACCATTTTTGAGAAAAAAATTCAGGAAGTGGAGAATTTTTTCGACAAAATTAAAAACTTTCGAATCATTCTGGAAAAATTATTTTTGGCTGCAGGGGTCAATTGCAATTATTTTTGGTGAATAGACGTACCCCCGAAATCCTCACCATTTTCGAGAAAAAAATTCAGTAAGTGGAGAATTTTTTTGACAAAATTAAAAACTTTCGAATCATTCTGGAAAAATTATTTTTGGCTGCAGGGGTCAATTGCAATCATTTTTGGTGAAGAGACGTACCCCTGAAATCCTACTCACTTCCGAGAAAAAAATTCGTGTAGGTCGACAAATTTTGTGAATAATTTTATTTTAATAACTTTTTAACGAAGCTTCAATCAACAAATTGATATTCTTGATTTTCGTCTTATTTGGGCCTATAGAATCTCTCATTAAAATTTTTCCAAGATTGGTCGAACATCCGGTATATTAGAATATTGCAAATGCTAAAATATTTGTTATTATTTTGGGAATACTATTGTCCACCCTTGAAATGGTCAAATAAAGTACACTATAATATACTATAAATATATTTGTACATTGTAAATGCTAAAATATTTTTTATTGTTTTGCAAATTGCTTTAATTATATCACTACTGCTGTTACGTAATAAACCAGGGTATGGAATGAACAAATATGCCAAAGAAAAACGATTTTTTTTAGTAGCAATAAGCATTTGTACGTTTGCACATTCCGTGCCAATACTGATCCGATCGATGCTTGCGAATGTCACCGTTCCTGATCGAAAACTAGGAGATTGCCTGACCTACGAGAGGCACCTTTTCCCAGATCGTGTGCCCCCGTGGTTTTTCATTACCACGGATTCTCCTCCTGGGAGCTAGCCGGAAGACCCCAGAGCGCACAATTTACGCCGGGTGGGAGATAAATAAGGAGTAGGTGGCACGACGAGATGAGACGAGAAACAAGTCGGAAGTGGGTCAGCGGGACTGTCGGTCGTGAGGGTCCGGGTTCGTTTCTCCTTTCCTCGAGAAGCCGTTTGCCAGCTCCGACCGACGAAACAAAACCTGCAAGTACAAATCCTCGCGCGAATCAAGGCGACGTGTACATCGATTCCGCTAAAAAGAAAAAAGAAAAAAAGAAAAAAAGCACCAGGAAAAAGGAACGACGCGTCTTCGATCGCCGCGAACGTCGAAAATAATCTGCTTCCGGTTTTTCGATCATTCTCATTTATATTTTATACATACATAGATTTCTTTGTATATTTACAAGTAGTTCGTTTCTTATTTATTTCTCTTCATTATTTTTTTCTGTTTTGGAGTGGGGGGATAGTGGGGAGGAACATCTAGGCTTCTCGCATACTTCGTCGTGTTTTCCTCCCGCGGTAACGCTTAACTGCTAATGATTATTTTACACTCAACATCGATAGACACTCAGATAGAACTAATAAATTTCTCTAACGTTTCGTTAAATTTTTTCTTCCCCCGTCATTTTTTCTCTGCTCTCGCATTCTCTCTTTCTTTCTCTCTCACACACTCTCCCTGTCGGTCTCCTCTCCGGCGGAGATGCAGACCACGTATGTTTTGCAAAACACGAGAACGCATACTGATCGCACGTTCGTCACCGATCGGTACGCGCCCCGGCAAAATATAGTAGAAATCTCTTACTTATCTGCTCGATAAAAAAATATGTGCATCGTATATCTTCGTTTAAACTTAGGTGGGGCCCCTCGCACAATGTTACTGTCCAATCGTTGCGTCGAATTTTCGGAGGACGGATCGTCGCGTTGACGCTAAACAAATTCTTCTCGTTAATTTCACCGTCAACTGCCTCGTTTTAGAACTCTAAATTTCTTAAATTTCTTCAGCGAATTCACTTGAAAGCGAAAAATCCAGAAGAACAAAAGCCAATAAGAATCGAACGTACCACGTGAACTTAAACAGAGGGTTCCGTTGCAAATGGCGTCGCTTGAAAGCAAGAGTTATCGTATTCCTCGACAATAATTTCAAAGACTCTTTGCAAACTAAATTGTACAGTGCATTTTAGTCCTCGAGAAAACCCTCGACAGAAAAGAAAAAGGTTGGGACGAACGTGCGCGATCCTCGTTCCGTAAAAATACAAATGTACAAATGCAACGTTTCCAAAAAAGAATCTCAAGCCAAGAGAACGCGAAAGAGAGCGAACAATCTCGTGACAAAAATATACCCGGGCTCCTCGCGTGTCGATAATGGACGCAAGAAGAACGCGCGAAGACGACCGAGAATAAAAATAATCGTAGTAATACTCTTTCGTTTACTCTACGCAACAGTCTATAAGCCTCTTTCATCTGGATCACATCTTCACGCTTTAGTTTTCACGCTCTATTCGTCGGTAGCTCGGTGTCCCCTAAACACCTCGAGCGACTTTGCTTAATATTTAGGACGCTTCTCGATTTTTCGTCGACAATCATCTAGCGGATCTCCGGTGAAAATAGGACGATCTCGACGTACTATGGAAAAGAATCGCTCGATTCCGGGATGACAATGGAGCCCCCAACGAGAACGGTGGCTCTTTTAGGTCCGGGGTAATCCGCTTCGAGGACCGTGGCCCGTTTTTCTCTTTCTTTCCCGAGCCTGACGACGAGACTCGACCATTAACGAGACCATCGGCGCTGAATCGTTAAATCGAAACATATAAATATAAAATCTTGCTCGAGATTCTGTTCTTGGTTCGTTCGGCGCTTCGATCCTCGTCGATCGCGAGTAACGATCCGTAATGGAAGAAAAACGAAGAGAACGCGTAACTCAGAAGGGTTACGAGGAATCGATCGAACGCGATGAGATCTCTGCAACTTTCGAGCGAAAAAAATACCACTGAGATCGTTGTCTAAAATGTAACGGTGTACCATGAGTATTATCCATATCCCTCGCTGGTCGTACAGCGGTTGGCGGATCGAAACTCGGGGTTTGGAATGTACGGGTCACGTGGACACGGTAATTCACACTCTCGAGCGACAATGTTGAGGCTGTTACGCAACCAGCGGATAATTACGTTGTTCGAATCCGGCGCGACGATTGTGTGTGCTCGAGAGCGGGAATTACCGTGCCGTGTTCTTTGATCCTCGACGCACGGATCGTTCTTGCATACCTCTATCTAATTACGTGTAATTTACTTAGAGCCTCGACATAGAATTGAAAACTTCTCGCGTAAGCCGCTGCAAGCGCTTCCCTTATGTACACGTAAACGCGTTCCGTGTCGCGCCAATGGCGGACACCCGTCTATCGTTTCAACAGAAATATCTACAATCCTCCACTCGGCGTACAAACGACCGTGAACAAAGAAAATGCAGAGAACTTCGTCGAGGCTTCGACGAGAAGCTCGAACGAAGCCGCTGTTTTGGCTGCTATTGCCGATTTACTTACGAGACGGAGAGTTTCATTACGCATTATCGTCGGGACAGTTCCGGTCTCTTCCCCGAGAGATCGTTTCTACATAATCTTCTGCTGTTTTTTTTTTCTTCTTTTTGTTTTCATTTTTTTGTTGTTTACTTATGCTATAAATATGCGGTGTGCTTGCTGCTGTGCTCGAGAGCCGCGAGCACGTCCTGCTTCTGTCTCACGTAAAGTCTGCCCTTTTTCCAGGGATTCTGTAGCTGCAGCAGCTTGAAGTCGTCCCTGAGGCAACGTTCCCTGGCGCCGATCACCGCTACCAAACAGAAATTCGGCAGCTCGTCGGACGTGTAGATGGGACCCTCCTGGCCCTTGAGGACCATCGCCATGTTCAGCTGCTTCACGACCAGATTCACCACCTCTCTGGCCGTGGTCCTCGGCGTGACGTGTAATTTCAGACTGGTACCGGATGCCAGGCCAGTCTCGTAGGCCGCGTAAACCTGCAAAGATCCGTTCGTTAGAATTGGAAGAGTACACGTCCAACCGAACAGACAAACTTTCTGTTGTAAAATCAGCGTTTGCAGCGACATTCAGCTGGCAGCGACAACGCGTTGCTCGGTGCGTCTTGGCTGTTACTTGTGAACGAGAAGTGAAATTAATGGATGTTAGTTTGCGAGCAACGAAATCGATGAACCACTTATCAAGATGATCGTACAACGCTCGATCTCATTGAGATTGACTTGTCGAAGTAACAGTTGAGTAATTCAGACTCTGACATGCTTCGTTAAAGTTGGTACCAGGTCTGGGACTGTTCGAATGTTCGAATTCTAATAAATTCGATTTGCAAGTAGCCAGTATTGATATTCGAGTACGCGAAAGTTAAACGAATAGTCCCAAATCCTGATCGATACACAGAAAGCGCGTTTCGGAAAGCGTATCTGAGCGAAAGAAGCGCTGAAACGTAGCGGTTGGCGGCTTACTCGTGTGTCTGCTACATCGGTCTGCACTAGAAGACCAAGTGAGCTGTTTTTAACTACAATCGGGTTAGACTTGTGTTCCCTACAAGGAAAAATATCATTTTCAATGGGTAGTTCTGGAACATAACAAGCTTTTACCCTAAGAAAGCTTGCGCAATGTAGAACAATCTCCCGTTTAACATAAAGCGACCGAGACAGTTTGTGTCGGAGTGAGTCTCAAGATTGGTACCAAGTTTATATTTATACCTTCCAAACTAACCTACTAAACGCAACAGACCAGTCTCGAGAGTCACTGTTAGCCTCTCTTCGATACGAATTACATCCTATTGAGATTGACGTTTGAAGACACCGCCAGAAGTTACCTGGAGAATGCCAGGCGGAGGTGCTGGCATCATCGTGGTCTCGTTCTTCTCCTCCTCCAGCTGGCTCTCCAGCGTCCCGGTCGCCATGGCCGCGACACTGGCGGTAGGCTTGGTTGATTTCCCTTTGGTGTGTACAGCTTTGATGCAGGCGGTCGAATTGGGGGTGGAGTATTCGTCGCTACTCAAAGAGTGCAAACTGTCGGAGTTGGTGTTACTGACGCTGAGGAGGCTAGTAGCGTTCGTCATGCCCGTCGACACGCTCAAAAGCGAGCCGCCATAAATGATGGGCTTTATGCTGAGCAACGGGCTGCTACTAGCCGACGCGGACGTGATCGTCGCTGACCTGTTTCGGGGACTGTGTTTGTATTTCGTTAGAATCAACGTGTCCTCGGATTTGGACGGCGGCAGCCTCGTGTTCTGCAACGGTACCAGATGGTTGTTACTGCTGGCGCTGGTCGCGCTGCTTAGATTGCTGGTGCTGCTTATCGGTATACAGGACTTTGGGGGTTCCGAGCCGGTCGAAACGTTCGAGGTGTTGCTGCCTTTGCGTATGTACTGCCCGCTGGGCAACTGTTGCTCGCTTTTGCTGAACTCCGTCGTGAGCAGATTCGACGAGGAATTGGTCACGTTCGGTCCCGGCCAGCTGCCACGTCCTGGACTGGACTTGACGAGCTTCGGATCGCGCGGCGGCAATTGCAACAAACTCCTCTTTAGGCTGTTGCTGTTATTGTTGCTTTTGTTCCTGTCGAGACTGAGCAGGTGCTTCATCGAAATTCCGAGCGCCTGCGAGGTACCCTGCAATCACAAATCACAGAATCGTTTAACGTCGGAGCGAGCAATGCTTCGCTTGTGCTTTATTCCACAGAAGGGATCGAACTTACGGTTTGTTGCGACGATCCGCGATCCCTCGCGAACGTGATCACATCTATGAGCCATCTAGCGCCTTTCCACACGGTGTTTACCTGCGACTGAAGATCCTGCAATCTGGCCAGCTTGTCCTTCGCCACGCTCAGCTCCAGAGAACTGAAAGCTTCGCGGTGGCTGTGCTGAGCTTGCGCCGTGTCCAGTTCCAGGATGCAACTTAGCCTCGAGTATCTATTGATTACGTCCTTCTGATACGTGTTCAAGTGCACCATCTCGAACACTTGAATGGGCAACGATAGAAGATCGCCCCTTTGCAGAAGGATTTCTCTGGTTCCAGGTACGCAACAAGCGGTCTCCGCTGGAGGCACGGCGATCAGGAAGGACACGTCGTGGGTCAGATCGATCACCTCGGCGTCGTACAGTCGATGACACAGGGAATCCTCGGGGCTGATCTCCATATAATTGAACAATCGTCTCGCGGTAGCAGCGACGAGATCCACGAACAGCTTTTGTTGCTCCGTACCTTGCGACTCGTTCGTTACGTTCTCCTTCTCCTCGGAGTCCTTGGCCGAAACGTCCGAAGCGTGAATACGTGTTATCCTTTTCAGATAATCCCACTCTTCGCTGTGACCAGAGTAACGATAAAATATTGATTAAACGAGCAGATATTTCATTTTATAACGCAGGGTAAACGATCCTGATACTTACGCGGATACGTGCGGATTGTCGCGGATCTTGCAGTGAGGTAAAACGTTAGGCGACTTTGCTGGTACCACGACCTGGATCAGATCTACGCTACTTTGCATCTTTATGTAACCAAGGTACAGCCCCTTCGATAGTTTAATACTGCTGACTTGGTGATAGGTCATCTGTTCCTGTATACTGGCTATCAAGATGTCCGCCACGTTGCTGTCCTCGTGAGTAATTACCTTTTTCGTCACTTTGCTGAGTGGCAGCCATCTGCTGTTCAATACTGAGATCAACTTTGGGGATTTTATGTAATTTACCGTGGAGAATACTAGGGTGCCCTGGATGTCTCGAACAGGTTTATGGTACAGTTGCCCGAGGTCCTGTATGCACAGTGCTGCCTATAATGGTAAACATTATTGATATTACACCTCTTTGGCGATTTTACAAAAACATTTCACGTGAAAATATGAAACTACGTGCCTGCATTTGCGCAGCAGCTTGCAACAGCTTTATCCTGAAGTGGTTCGTCGAGCTGCTGTGGCTCTTCTCCATGTCCTGGCGGAGAGTCTTCACGTCGTCCCAAGTGCAGGCCACTTTCATCAGCCAATGGAAATCGTTGTAAATACAGCTAGGGTAAGTCTCGTCTACCTCGATCACGGGCAGGAAATCCTCGTTCGTCACGAGCACCTTGTCCTCGTGATAGAGCAGACAGGCGAGGAACACACCGCGCCTGAGATTCTTTTGAAATTTACTCGTCGCCGTGAACAGCTGCTTTATCGTCGTTTTCTTCTTATGGTTACGCCTCTGTACCGCCGGCGTTTCTTGCGTGTACTCCGGCCGTCTTATGTCCGTGAACAGAGTATTTAATTGCTCCAATCGACCCGCGAACCTTGGCACCCTGCCGTCGATGTCCCTCCAACCTAAAACGATGATCGTTCATCCCTCAGACACTTTCATTCTCAGAGACTCGGCAGTAAATTGAATTTGACGCTACTGCTTAAGGCAAATTTAGTCACGGTGGAAGTTGTCATTTGGCTTTAGCCTATGTACAGTAATGCATGGTTAGCTTCTAACATTTTGGAAACTGCTCCACATTATTTGGATTCATTTTAATTGGAGGAATCTCAGAAATGGGTACAGAAAGTAAAAATACTTTTTATTGTATGTTCATCAATCTCCTTGCAGCATCTCTATGCATTGTGTCTCTTTTCTATCCTACTTGAGGTTTCGAGACGTTAAGGGGAAGGTATCAGAAGGGTTGAATCGTAGAAAGTTAACAGTCCAACGTCACCAGTACCAATGGGGATACATAGTGGTCATACAAGCGTACAAATTTACTGATTTATAAGAACATAAAAAGCGACTTTACTGCTAGGAGTAACGTGAGCAGGCGTGGAGTTCCTGAACCTGCTGTAGCCCTTCAGGTTCCCAGCGGCCGCTCGAAAATGGTACTTCTGTCCCTGGATCAGATCGTCGATTCTGCACTCCCTCTGTTTCATGTCCAGGACCTCTCTCTCGCCGCAGATCACCGAGAAGTCGTCCTTGACGCTCCACTGGACCTTGAACTTGGTGCAGATGGGCGAGTCGTGGGAATCCGGCTCCTGGAATCTCACCGTGACAGAGTTCGTGCCCGTGACGTCCACCGCGACCAGGAACGGTATATCGGGCGGTCCTGAGAAACATAGAAGGTTCCAACGTTCTGCTGGTACGAGCTGGGTCGGGTCCAGGTATCCCCGGAGGACTTACTCGCTTGATCGAACCCGAGCAACATCTTCCTGAGTGCTCTGGCTCTCCTTTCCCACAGGGCCAGCTGCTTGTCCTCCGCGCTACCGCCGCATCCCGTGAGATTGTTGTGCTGGGACGAGAAACTTGACCTGTGGCTGGTCGGCGGCTCCAGAAGGGTGGTGCCGCCGCTACCGGAAGTACTGCCACCCAGCTCTTGGACTCTGTGCTCCGCTTCCGACAGCAACGAGGCCAAATGGCTGCCCAGGGATTCCGGAGATTTGACTGGAATCGTTCAGACAATACTCGAGACGCGTTTCATCGTGTTTCTGTGCATCCTCGGTAGCAAAACTATTTTGTTAAATTTAAAGAACGTTTCTGTGGATAGTTGTGCTTGTCTTGGTGTATGAAAAAGGTTTTCAAACTGTTCAGAGGACAGTTTCGACGAAAGAAACGAGAGATGGGGAATTCAGAACGGGAAGAAAACATGTAATCGGCTCGATTGTGCCATAGAAATCAACGTGGCTTGTGGAGCGGAGAAAAATACACGCGACAGGGATCCTGGCTAATTGGGGCGATTCAGTCGTTCCAATGTTTATGAATGCAAAATCCTGCGGCGAATTGCATCCGGGATGGATGGTTACACACCTCAATCATTTCGCCCACAATTCTGTCCATGGCAGATATCGATTCTCGCTTTCCATCGACACGCATAATCTCGGGGCGAATTATTTCGATAACTTTTCATGCATCGACGCCAATGGTCGATTCTTTTCTGTAAATTTGATTTAATATGAAAGGGAATAAATTCTCACGACCTTTCACAGGGGTTTATTTGTAATAAAAAAACACGATTTAGTTGTTCTTTTTTAGACGTTGCGTTTAGAATTCTAAGATGGAGAAGAGACTAGAAAAGTAGCATTTTGAATCGTCGAAACGGACAGTGGTCAATGAATTATCAGATGAAATTTTTACCAGAGAATTTAATCGACAGATTAGATTCGAAACGCTTAATGGACCGCCATAAGCTTAAAAGCTTCATCTCGCGGGCAAGGATCGTAATTCTAATCGAATCGCACGGGGAATCATCGCAGTGGCGTTTCGTTACGGCACGATCACGAACATCGTTGATCGATTTTGCAGTGACTGAAAATTTCCAATCGCTCGTATCGTACCGCCATTACACAAATCACTCTCGGTACGTTGCATCAATTAATTACTAGCTTCGCAAATATTTGGAGTCCCGTTAACCGATGAGCAATGTACTAATTCTATCTCCACTTCTTACTCGACTTGGCTCAACAAGATTTTTATGAAATTTTCTCTGTTAAGATCAAATATCTACAATTGGAAAACTTGTGAAGGAATACTTTTCAATTTTATTTAATTTTACTTGATTTAAACAGTAATTCAAGATCAATTGTATGGAGAATTTAGTTTATAATTATGTTTATATTTATAATAGTTTTATATAATTTTGTAACATGGTTTAGTAATTCTATGCCCATTTCTTACTTGACTTGGCTCAAAAAGATTTTTAAGAAATTTTCTCTGTTAAGAACAGATATCTACACTTGGACTTCAACCAGTGAAAGAATAGTTTATAATTTTATTTAATTTTACTTGATTAAACAGTAATTCAAAATCAATTGTATGGTGAATTTAGAATAATTTATAGTTATGATTGTTTTATACAATTTTGTAACATAGTTTAACAACAGTAACATTTATTTATTTTTTTATTCAAGGCACTGGAAAATATTAAGAAACACAAAGATTCGTATGTGTGATGGTAAAAATTGCTATCGATAGCAATACTTTCATTGTGTTTAATAACAGCCGTGTTAAGGGATCCGTTAAAATGGCGGAGAAGAAGACCAGGCGGGAAGTTCTTTTCGCGCTTCTCGCTTTAGTTTCGCCGCGTTCGAAACGCAATAAAGTCCCTATGGCATTTTTATTACACACTGCGGAATCCTAATTGGAATCCCATCCCGTTCGACTATTTTTCCTTTCCTTCTTGGCCCGATCGGATCTCGTTTTTTTTACCACCGACCCGAAACCACGTGTAATTTACCCCGAAAATCGTACATCCGAGTTCCGACGCGACTTTTTCGCCCGCGGAAATTTATTTCTCGACCGTAACACACGCCATCGCTAGAAACGAGCCAGCAGTTATTTCCACGGGTACGCAAAATTGTCGACGTTCGAACAATTCGTCTAGTCAAACGTTTTTCCCGTGCCTTTTATAGCCACTGTACAAGCGACGAATTTGCGTGGCTATTGTTTGGCAAAACGGTGGTTGTGAGTAGAGAGAAAAAAACAGCTACGATTTGTTTGATTTTCTGCGTGTCGAAGTTTTCCAGTGGCACGCGCGACCATTGTTACGAAACGAACGATTTCTGATTATTGCTAAAAATTCAAACGAAATACTGAAATATTCAAACTTGCGTTTGTAATATTTAACTGGTGTTCAGGCTCGATTAATGCAACGAAAGTTCCACTGCGTTTCGATGAATGTTTTCGTTAGAATTTCGAACGAACTCGTGTCATAGGTGAAATGCAGAAAATGGAATTCGGGGGAATACTTACACTGATTACCCTCTTGTGCACCGAACGCGACCAGCATTTTTGCAAGCGGCCTATTGTTGCTGAGAACCGCGACATCCAGAGCTGAGAGGCCGTCGCTGTTCACGCTGAAAATTTAATTCAGCCACACGTTACTCGAGATCGTGTCCTTTCTATTTTATTTCGTATTACATGACATATCAATTTCAATAAAAAATTATCTCTTCGTTCCGTTTCTATCAAGAGTTCTACAATTTTTACACTAACTTGGTAAATTTATGTCGGTTACTAGTGACTATTATGGTAATGAATGTGTTAACTTTATTGTTAAGTATTGTTGATATTAATGTATCACTTAAATATGTAAAAATAAAGAGAGTCTGATAATAATTTCTTGATCCACTGAACCTAATAACGTCCAATAATTGACGGATATTGAACTCATGTAGACGTGACAGCGGCCGATACCTGATTACTATCGAAGCCACGTATACGACAGCTCTGGATGAGAACGATGTATCGATGATTTCTGTCGATACATCGATGCTTCTACCATAGACGAGGTATACGAGCAGACCTTACATCCAATGCATTTTTCCAGCACTTTTCACTGGCAAAGAATTTTTTTCTCGAAAATGGGTGGGACTTCGTGGGCATGTCTATTCACCAAAAATAATTATATTCGACCCCTACAACTAACTATAATTTTTTCACGACGATTTGAAATTTTTTTTTGACGAAAAATTTCTACACTTATACGAATTTTTTTCTCGAAAGTGGGCAGGATTTCGAGAGTATGTCTATTCACCAAAAATGATTGTAATCGACCCCAGTAACCAAAAATAATTTTTCCAAAACGATTTGAAATTTTCTAATTTTGTCGACTTTGACCACCTACTCGAATTTTTTTCTCGAAAATGCGTAAGATTTCGGAGGTATGTCTATTGACCAAAAATGATTGTAATCGACCTCTGCAACCAAAAATAATTTTTCTAAAGCGATTTGAAATTTTTCAATTTTGTCGACTTTGACCACCTACTCGAATTTTTTTCTCGAAAATGCGTAAGATTTCGAGGGTATGTCTACTCATCAAAAATTATTGTAATCGACCCCAGTAAGTAAAAATAATTTTTTCAGAACGATTTGATATTTCTTTTTTTACCGAAAAATTTTTGCATTCACTGAATTTTTTTCTCGAAAGTGCGTATGATTTCGAGGGCATGTCTATTGACCAAAAATGCTTGTAATCGACTCCCGCAACCAAAAATAATTTTAGAAGTGATCTACGTCCGATCAAGTTACTCCATACGCTCGTCATTGTTTATTCCTGTACGTTCAACGTTTCTTACAATTGTCTAGTTGCTTCTATAAACAATTAGCTTGGGTCTGCTCCGTTTGATTTATAAACAATTAGCTTTGGTCTGGTCCGTTTGATTATTGACAGGAGGGTTAAATCGCCGAGAACAAGGAAAACTCCGAACGGCTGCGCACCTTCGTACGTAGAAACGAACAATGGCGCTCATTTCCGCGACGTAATCGCGGCAATTTCGCCCTTGGATAAACCCGTGCTTTTGCTAGCTGCCATTAGTTAACCGGGACAAAGAGAGAAGCGGATAAACGGATTATCGCGGCAGCGAATGGACGTTCAGCGACGGTTACGATGCACCGGTTGCGACGGAAACGTCGATTCAGGGATCCAGATTCGAGTGGACGTTTGATGTCATCGATACGCCCGTTGGACTTTGATCCCGATGTGGTCTGTGGAGGCGCATTCCGAGCTTTGCCTCCCTGGGGGCAGATTTACGGAGATCAAAGGTCGATATTCGTCGACGGAATTGCCTTCGACTGTGTTCGCGCCTCGACACAGTCGGTACCACAAACTTTCGACGAACGTTTTTTCAGGGTCCAACCGGATCTGGACAAAGTCCAGGTTACCCCCCCCCGGTGCCAGGATGGTTTAAATTTCACGCAGTTCGCGGAAAGAATATTTCTCTTGGAAAGTCGCGTCGACGGTGAACGACAAAAGTTCGAACTTTCCCACCGCCGATGCAGCAGCAAGTTGGAAAGAAACTTTTGACTTCGATATTTCATACTTTTGGAGAAGTGTTATGGCAGAAGCTCTGTTATTGCACCGAAAGTGGCGTTGGGAAATTCAAGGCAATCCATTCATTGAGCGACCCTCCACTTGTCGACACTACTGTGTCATAATATGAAACGGCTATGAGCATCGAAGCATCTTTTAACTGAATTTTAAAATACACTTTCGGCAATGCAAAAGTAAATTTCACGCTATTAAATATCTATGCTCTACCGTCTGCCACGTATTTTAAAATTATTAATTTTTTAAGAAACATAATGTACACAGTCTTTGCTTAGACTGAATTACGAGGAACATGATTTATAATTAAATACAAAGGAAATATACAGTGGGTATGAGACGAGAAATTTCTGATAGGGAAATGTGGGGCAAGATGGGATATAATAATTATATCCTCTCAAAATACATATTTAGATAGAATTTTGAGAAATATAGTCTTCGTCTGATGAAAACATGACACTGATTTTTGTGGAATATCTAAGAAAAATGTTCAAAAATCTCACCTGTTCACGTCCACGTCAGTCGACTCCAAAATGGATCTAGCTTTGTCCAGGTGGCCATGTTCCACAGCCGCGAAGAGGGCTAAAAAACAAAAACAAAACAGAAATACTATAGAAAATTGTAAAGATTAAAAAGTACTTCTTGTTGGGGCATCGAGTGTCGCTGAATCTGTAAGACATAAATATTTCAAGCTCCTCATTTCATGAAACGTTTTAATACGCATACAGAGAGTTATAATAACAATATCATAATAGGTTGGCGAAGAAAATAAATGAGAATTCAAGAAATCATTGTAAACCTACAGCAAAAATAATAGTACCTTTTGCGCTGAGGATATATAAGAAATATATGATATATAAACATTACAATTAATTAATAAGAAAATAAAGACGTTGAAAGTACCAGTTTAGAAATGTGAAAATAAAATGTATCATACGGTAAGAAACTTTCTTTCGAATACGTACGATTTAAAAATAATTTGAAAAATGTGTAAAACACCTGCAAGAACAAATTGCAATTTTGTGCTCGTTAAATACGAGGCAATCTGCGTTGATCTTTATTTATACGATATCAGAGGCAAAATTGGCGCAAGTAGGATGAGTAAAGAAAATAAATGTTAAATAAATAAAATACCATGCAGGTGTATGTTGAGGGACTGTGCTGACAAAGGATTGATATGCACCGACGCAATGTTGTTCGCTTGTTGATGTGGCTGCTGCTTTTTCTTCCCGAATCCTTCCAGGAACTCCATCCCTTGCAAAGAGTACAACTCTGTGCGAACATAAACAAAAGGAACTGAATAACAGGTAAACAAAAGGGGTAACCCTGCGGCGAGAGTATCGCGGAAAATAAATAAAAAGGAAGAAGAATGATTTATGATATAGCTCTTCCCACCGATCCTGCAATTCATTATGAAAATAGATTTCGATATATTTTTCACGATTTTCGCAATCAAAAAAAGGAATCTTGACGTGAAAATTTGCTCGTGGGAAGCTTCGTTTCAGAGAAAATTCCTAATTGCGCTGGTCTTTACGATCATAGATAACACTTGCGTTGTTCTACGTTTTAAATAATTAAAATTGGTTCGATAATATCATACAGCAATAAATGTTTAAAGACACCAGTGTGATTTCTCATTAAATTGGCTCAAGTTTGACAATACGAGTCGAGAATGAACGTATGCATACTGATATTTAAATTTAATTTTCTCGAGAACGAAGCCTTCCACGCGATTTCGTTATTCTTTGCCCCCGTCTCGTGTCTACCCAATTTGCAACCATGAATTATAAAATACCCGGTGCAACGGTTCGAAACATTTGCAAAGCCTGGATAATTATCGCAGAAATGAAAATAACGTAGCAGTTGGGGAAAAATTCTTTTTTGCTCGCCATATTGGAAACGTGGTTTCTCGACGGACTGACAATCCGAAATGAAAATCTCTGGCCGTACTTGAGCCGGAAGTGGTCGTCACTAGGACCCTGTTCTGCCCAACGGATTCGTTGTCCCTCGAGTCCTTGATGGACTTCTTTCTTCCGACAGACGCCTTGCTCCGGAAGCTACCGCCGCGCGCGTTCGCCCACAAGCTCGCGATATTGTTCACCGTCCTGATCCTGCAGGACTTGGACGAGCAAACGGACGTTTTCCTGATCAGATCCGGGGACTCTCGTTCCTTGGGCAGCTTCTCGTCCCTGCAGCTACGACGATCGAAACCGGTCAGGTCATTGACGATCGAGTCCAAGCTCGCTGCCCTCTCTTCGTCCTGCAGGACCACGTCGTTCACGGACAGGCTTCTCGCCTTGGTGGCGACGATCAACGAGCAAGAAGCGTTTCTGTCGCAGGGGGACTCCGTTTCGAAGACCTCGCTGCTACGAACGCAACGACAGTTCCGTTCGCAGGATCCTCTGGAGTCCACCACCAGCGTCAATCCAGGATCCTGGGACGATTTCTCCACTGGCGAGTCGATTTTCGCCCCCTTCGCGTCGCGATCGCAGTCCTCGAACAGGAAACTCGACATGGAAGTGTCCAGGGAGCTGTCCAGACAGAAGGTGGGATTCTCGTAGAACAGACTAGGCGTGGGATCCTTTTTCTCGTAGGACTCCGACGCGTTGTTCCGCCAACGAAACACGTTCGTCGACGTCGGAGGATCGTCGCTCCTCTTCGGTTTCTCCGTGTCCTTGCGGTTCTTTCTCATGATCCTGTCGGTGAGGCACAGCTTGCTCTTCAGCTCTTTGCTGATTCCTCGGGACTCCAGCTCGTTCAACGAGAGCATGTCCTTCTCGTCGTTCGTTTCCCGTTTCTCGTCCCTCCGCAAAGGACTCGAGGACTCGTCGAGCTGCGGCAACTTGGTCGCGCGTTTCGCGGCTCGTTGGTCCCGCACGGACGTCGGCGACAAATCGAAACCGGCGTTCAAACGCAGGGTGGCGCGGCTACGCAGCTTCGACATGAGCTTCAACGACGCCCGGAAGGACCTCGATCTCTTCAGCGTCGACATCCGGTCGCCCGACGACCGCCTCGAGAGCAATTCCATCTTTGGGCTGGACCTGGACGTTTTGCGAAATTTCATCGGGAGCAGCCTTTTCGTTTACAAGCCAACTCTCTGTTCCGTGTTTCGAACTTTCGACCAACCACGCGGGGGAACTCGATTTAAAAACCGATTAAATTGTCCAGGCCGGTATTTCGGTATTTCGGAATTTTTTAACTTTGATCAATAAAATTTATCTACACTGTAAAAATATATTATCTTCTTATCTCTTTGGCAAAGACTTTAGTCCCTCGAGACCCTCCAAGGCACTTCTTTGGCTCCATAAAGCTGAAAAATTACGGATCACTTTTGTAGACAAACAAGGATCAAGAACGATCCTATCGTCGAGTTATCGACGGTCCTTCCTTCGGGAAAACACGACGAGCCTGTTCGAGATGATCAACGGTGTTACGCGACGCGTTACATTTTATGCTGGCTCCTGGAGTCAGGGATCGAACGATACTTTTTCTAAATAAGAGCTACCTGGCTAGCTTTCAGCGTTTAAATTATTTCTCTTATATTTATGAGTTAAGTTGAACATTTTGATTCTGGTATAAAAAATTTAATTTTTATAGTTATCTTATGGTCTGGAGAGGCTCTGGAATTTTCAAGTTAACAAAAGTCGAGGTCACTTTTTATTGTTATTGTTATATTAAAATCTAGAAGTTTCGTTCGACCTTCCACTGGAGCATATAACGATCGAGACCTTGATAAATTCCCTTTGATAACTGACATAACCGTCCGCTCGGATTAGAAGAAGGCATAAAGCCTTAAAAACGATATCCTTCGCTTCCCATCAAGGTTAATAGTCTTCTTTACGACGTAGTTAGAAACGGCGACACGGATAATTTTACACTTTCATAAATCCGAACGAAAAGCGATCAGAAACGGGAACTCCAAAAATAAAAAAGAACGTGTGAGATCGCATGGACTCTTGAATATCAACTGCAATAAATCCGAAAGAATCGAACCCCTAGGATCTAATATCCATCTCTAATTCCACATTCAGCAAAGACTACCCTCTTGAAACGACCAATATAATTCACTCGGGGGGAAAAACGACGCCATCTTTCTTATGTTTCCAATTGCAATTCATAGCTTTGAAGAATGACGAACGAGAGTTAAGACAATATAAGCTCGTATCAAGCAATATCTCTGATGATCAACTGAAATTCTTGCAAATAATGGAGAGCTTATGCATGGCTAAGCTAATGTTACAACTTGATTCTATTACATTCGTAGTACAATATTTGTACACTTTGTTTTGTAGTGAAATATCGTACCTCGACAACAATTTCGACCAAGCTTCGCTTTCATTGCTCCGACAGTAGCATATAGAATTTTAAAGTGGCCATATAGTCATGACACGTAGTCCCACTCGAAACAGTTTATATGCAAACCTAGTTCCTGCTCTACAAACCAGCGCAAACACCGATTTGAAAGTGTTATGACACAGACCGACCGGGCTTCTCGTGTCGCTAATCTCCGAGAGTGGGAACCTCGTAAGAGTTTCGTCGATGACGAATCGAGCACCGAGCATGATCGCGTAGAAACGAAATCTTCGAATTGATAGCGCGGGAGGGGCTGGTTGCCCCCGAGTAAAACGATTTTATTATTTACTTAGGACGCACGACGCTACGGTGATTTCAGCGCGCCAGCCCACAATTGCCCATTACGAAGAAGTGGTCTGAACGTCGCCTCTTCCTCCTCGAGACGAGCGTGACAATTTGTTAGCCCAATCAAATTTATTGCCGGCGTCCGTAGTCGGTTCTCGCTGGATCGGCCAAGATCGACACCGGTATTCGCGCCAAAATGGCCGCCAATGGTCGATTTTAAAAAGTTTATGTATTTTTCCACGAGCGTTTTTTGTCCAAAGTTAACAGATCCCATTCTAATCGTTTGAGGTTAGGTCTGGGTTAAGTACTGACCCACCTTAATAATTATATTGAAAAACATTGCAACTTGGGACTTTATAGTATTCATTTTTCCATCGAATTCGATATGTTTCGTCTGTGCATAATAAGTTATTTTGTTTTTACAAAATAAAAGAAAGGAGGAAAGGTCTGCTAGTGGACTCATAAACGACTGGGATATTGGGAAGTCGTTCGAGCGCTTGTGAGAGCGCGACCCCTCTGGTGGCGACGCCACAAAGTTTACAAAGGAACTGATGGCACGCTATTGTATTTGTTCTGATTTTTGAGAGATCAAAAGTTGTACAAAGCTTCTATTTTTGAGACAATGAAATTTGGGACATCGGCAAAGCTTGGGTTTGGTAGATCGATAGATATTTGTGTTTTCAGTGGCAACCTTTCGTACCCACGTTCTGGGAAACCTTTGCTCGTTTAAAAAATGTAGAAGTGCTTTTAGAATGCTGTACTTGAAAAGGATCAAAAGGATCGAAATACGTGTGTATGCGGTTGCAAAGTTTGCCAGCTCTCGAGGAATTCTGCCGGAGAGTTGGAAGGCGAATGCAATAAAGGGGGACGAAAGCTACGTAAAAGATTTCGTGTACGAGGAAAGGAGGCGTTGAATGTTGCGGGAAAGTGTCTTTTCGAAACGTTCTTACCACTATAGCGTCAGGTTTTGCAAGGAGCCAGCGAGTTCCACCGTTGGCGATCATTTAAGAAAATGTTGGCGTAGGTTGCTCTAAACGAATCGCCAATGTGTATTGCTGTACGGGAAGAGCTCTTTGAGAACTTGGGTTTCCTTGGCAATGTAAACGCCGGTGAATTTATTAATCGAACGGTATACGTTATCGCGTCAAACAAAGGTGTGAATGCGAAACGCGGGAACACGTATGAGTAATTGGAACCGTACGTCAATGTGTCGTATGGTTGGATAATTACAGAAACGAGTAAAAGCGAGAGCAAGTTCAACACGGCCAAGATAAATGATATTATAAATACATCAACGATTAGATAGTCGGACAGGTTCGAGGGCTGGGCAAACACGAACGTGCCAGCGCAGATGGTCAAATTGCATAAAAAGTATCAATGTATAATTTTAATAAACGGTCGAGAATGCGGGGATGGCAGCTTTATTAAAAAGTACAAACTACCGAGTGTCGTTTCTTTGGCTACTTAAACGATTCTATCTATATTTTTAATATCTGCGTAATGTATAATACATTAACTATTTTATGAACGATTTTGTTTAATATTTTTGTTCAACGAATATATTTTCATTTTTTTAGTTACGAATTAAAAGTTAGTTGAACGTTGGTCAGTGTTGCGTTTAAAAAGGGCATCCGCCCTTTTCTCCCTACGCTCTAGCTTATTAGTCTATCAACCCTTAATAACGCGTAATCGTTTCTGAGCTACGACTAATGCGACTCCATTATTACTTTAAATAGCTGGAGGACCAAGGAATCGTCTACTTCCTGCGTCTATTAATAATATTCTACGCACGGTATTTTTCATGATCAACGGTCAAACTGTAGCAATGTTTTTTGTTAATACAAATATACAGGGTGTTCGACCACCCCTGGGAAAAATTTTAATGGGACATTCTAGAGACCAAAATAAGACGAAAATCAAGAATATTAAATTTTTGACTGAGGCTTCAATAATAAGTTATTAAACAATTAAATTAAAAAATTTCAAATCGTTCTAAGAAAATTATTTTTAGTTGCAGGGGTGAAGTACAATTTTTTTTGGTGATTAGACATACCCCCAAATTCCTACGCACTTTTGAGAAAAAAATTCGAGATAGTGTGAAATTTTTCGACAAAATTACAAAATTTCCGATCGTTCTAAAAAAATTATTTTTAGTTGCTGGGGTCCAGTAAAAGCATTTTTGGTGATTAGACATAACCCCGAAATCCTACCCAGTTTCGAGAAAAAAATTCGAGTAGATGCTGAAATATTCGAGAAAATTAAAAAATTTCCAATCGTTCTAAAAAAATTATTTTTAGTTTCAGGGGTCCAGTACAAGCATTTTTGGTGATTAGACATAACCCCGAAATCCTACCCAGTTTCGAGAAAAAAATTCGAGTAGATGCTGAAATATTCGACAAAATTAGAAAATTTCCAATCGTTTTAAAAAAATTATGTTTAGTTGCAAGGGTCCAGTACAAGCATTTTTGGTGATTAGACATACCCCAAAAATCCTGCGCATTTTCGAGAAAAAAATTCAGTACAGACGGAACTTTAAACATTAGTAACTTCTTAACAAAGCCTACATCAACAAATTGGTATTCTTGACTTTCGTCCTATTTTGGCCTCTAGAATCTGCCATTACAATTTTTCCCAGGGATGGGGGTACACCCTGTATATGTGATAATTTGCATTGCACTGTTCTTATACAAGATGAGACACATTTCATTTGTCTACCTGAAATATTTTAAGGATGTTCGTTTTTTTAAACTCGATATCCCAAGTTCATCTGAAGCAGGATTGTTCAAACTATCATAGAGAATAAAATTTAAGGCGCTCGAGATGTCTGAATATATACCGCATGGAGGTGTCACAACATAATGATTCGGTGATTCAGTAATTTACAGTAATTTCCGCTTTAAAGTGACAAAATAGGGACCGGTTCACTTGAAATCAGAGTACGTAGCGATTCTTGGAGCAAACAGCGAGCGAGTCATTTCATCGTTCTTCAAAACGGAAGCCCTGATCCGATATTTATTAATCTAACGATACGAATATACGTACATCATAATTAAAAAAAAATCATATGTTAATATAACCGCCAACACGAAGGGTTTCGATACAAACACGTGAAATCAATGTTTATAAATCTGGCGTTAATAATATTTGAATGATTTTGATGTCTCTCTGCAAATTTCAAAAGTATGAAAGATAAATGTTTTCCGTCCGGGATATTAAAATTAATTAATCGTCGGGAGAAAACGTGTGCGATGGCGTGGAAATTATTTCGACGAAATACACACCGTATTTCAAAAACCGCTGCGCGGCGGTTAAAGTTTCATTCGTAAAACCAACATTTCATCGTGGAACAACCTGATACCCAGCGCTTTTATCCTCAAACGTACAGCTTTCGATTGTTGCTATCATCCTTTCAAATCTTTCCCCTCTCACTTTATCGTCAACGTTAATAACCTGCCGGCAATTTCTCGACGAAAAGAAGGCGAACGCGAGAAACAAAAGAAAAGCAAAGGATGCACGCGACTGCATCCTGCTTTAACGCCCATTGTGCTAATAACCGCTAACAAAGCTTCCGTTTCCCCATTCCCATCCGCGATTAGCGTCTCAGGATTGTTGCGCCCGCTAGAGATCGTATCGACGCCCAATGCGTGGCTAGATTTTCTATAACGGATCCATTATCCCTTGCACCTGCCTTTTCCAAACTGGTGTCCATTAAAAAAAGATGTAGTAGGTGGCCGGGGAGGAAGGAGATCGGTGATATATCAAGTACCGCGTGGTTAACCTTAAAACTGCTTTATTTCGAGCTGCGACACGGGACACGACCGAACTGGCCATCGCTGGCGTCTGATCGCAGCGCCCTCACCTCGATCTACCGAACCAACGCTAATTTCCGTTACTACGCTAGTCATACACCATAAAGAAAAGAAAATAACAAAAACTACATCGTGTAATAATTTAATTTTACTAAGCTTTCAACCCAAATGACAAATTAATAATTTTACTTGATTCTCTTCCAATTTGATATTTCAAAGATCCTTTAATGATTCCAATTTGTAATTTAATCACTTTCAATTACTAATTTTGCAGTCGGTTCTCGCAGAGTTCCTGCAACCCATCATACATCGATCAAAGTAATCGTATTAATCGCAAAACGTATCGATTTATTTTTAACGATCAGCAAATATAACAAACGCGTGCAAACACGTTGGAACACGGTAACCGAAGTCCAATAAACGTAACAGAATGAAAATTGGCAGCCCTGGCGCGGAAAGACCGGCTCCGTTCTCTCGATCGGTTATAAACGGCGTGCAGATTTTTAACGAAAGAAAGTTGAGGCGCAAGTTGTAACATGGCCGCGGACAAATGGCAATTACAGTGGCTCTGCCTTCTGTCGTCGATCGTTATTTGTTTCCTTTTTACGACGCTGCCGCCCGTTATCTCTTCGACAAACAAAAATCCGTTTTCTACTGTACGACGATACCGTTCGCCGTTATTGTTAATGTATCATTGTTCCGTGACGAGCGCGTCTCCGCCGCGATCCGTGAACCTGCAGTTAATAAATTGCCGAGGGAAAATGGTGGAACGCGCGCCAACTGGAAAACTATTTGCTCGATGCGAGATTTCCCATTACGAAACTGTTGGAAAAATTTAGCAATTCACAGTCCAGGAAAGGGAATTATTTAACAAACAAAATTACTGCGCGTTGAATGTTAAGTTCGATTAAAAAATGGTAAAAAAGAATTGTGTAAGTTATTTACCTGTGAATACAGGGTACAACTAAATATGGCGCGTTGGATTTAAAAACTAATAAATGAACAAAGGACGATACAGAACTTCCTCGAATTGCAGTATAGAAAATTATTGAATATAAACAGTGGATATTGCTCCACATAAAAATGGCACGTTAGATTTAAAAGTAATAAGTAAATACGATGCACAACTTCCTTGGCCAGCAGAGGCATTATTATGGCGCAGAAAATTATTCCTGTAAATACTCAACTCTAAATAAAAATGGCACTTTAGATCCACGTTAGATAAAGATATGGTAAATAAATGGTAACAAAGGCAATAAATAAGGACGATGAAGTGTACCTCAATTAATAGAAGCGTTATTTAATACAGAAAATAATTACACGACGAATACTTGATACCAATCCGACTGAGAATGGCGCATTAGATTTTCATTAGATTTTAAAATTGTACACGAATGTTAACGCGTAATAGAGGCAATAAATTAGGATGGCGGAGAACTTCCTCGACCGATGGAAGCATTATTTAACACAGAGGATTGTTACACAACCATGAATAGTAAATATTAATTTAATTGCGAAATGGCGTATTCGTTTTTCATCGAGTTTCGAACTGTTAGAAGAAATTGGTAACAAGCGATGGAGACGACAAGTTAAGACGACGAAGAACTTCCTCGACTGCTGGCTAATGCAATTATACGATCTATTAAAGCGATATAACCAATAGTTCGAGGCTTGTACACTTTATGCAGGGCGACCTGTTCGAAACAAACCACTCATCCCCTCCATTTTTGATCAATCAAACAAATGTTTTCTCACACCTGAACTAAATTTTAAACCAATTGTAACAAATACTTTCGATTTGAACAATTTTATACATTATTTGAAACGACGTGCTCCAAACGAAACGGTTCACTTAATTATCTCTTTTAGTTACGACGATACAAACAACGGTTTCTTCTCAATTAAAGAAAATTACATGGAAGCTGAAATGGCACTCTCGAATTAAACATAGGTATCGATTATACAGGGTGCCCCACGTGACACTTTTCACGATTTTTCAAGTACTTGCGATGATCTGAGAAAAAAATATTTTAGATGAAAGCTGATCAGTTTTTGATTGGCTATACATTGCAATAAAAAAAAGTTCAAAATTTGTTTTTATATAATAATAAAATATATTATACAATAATAATAAAACAAATTTCGAACTTTTTGTTATTGCAATGTATATGCAATCAAAAACTGATCAACTTTTGTCTGAAATATTTTTTTGTCAGATTATTGCAAGTACTTGAAAAATCGTGAAATAGTTGCGTGGGGCATCCCGTATGAGTCTTCCTCGGTAAAAGGATTTTTAAACGTAATAATTATATAAAAATACATAATTAAGAACTGAAAGAAATCTTTTTACTGTGGAGAACTCGTATTAAAATTGAAGGCGTTATAATAAATAATAAAAAATGATCAGTGTCCTGTACGTTCTTTTTCATAGACAGGGGATTTTGCGATTGTATTTTGCAGTATTTCCATCGATCATTTTCCTAATTACCTCGAAATGCTCACTGGGATAGCTTCATTACCAGAGACTATAATGGGGTAATTAGGGTCTGAGGGAGAGCCTGGAGCCGACTATAATGTACGCCTTTGAGGTATTGTCCTTATCAGCGCTCTGTCAACGATAAACTACAATCTACTTCCATCCCGGGTCTCTGACACTGCCTAACGCCTTCTTCCGCCGCGAAGTGCTTCGAACCTGCTCAAAAAACCATACTAAATGAAGATCGTTTGCAAGGAAAATTACTTCCAGTCAACGAAGTACCAAAAGACTGTTATTTAACCGGTACAATTCTTATCGTACTGTTGCATTTGCTACAACGAGAGAAGTAAAAAAGAAACGAGACAGTAACCGTCGAGCAAAAGGAGGAAGAAACGTTGTTCTCGATAGAACGAAATGCTGATATTCTTGGCGAAAGAAAATGACTGAAACTCGCAAGGAAAGCGTCCATGAACGATCTACTTATGGTTATGCAACCTTCCATGCATGGAGGTTTACCTCGCAAGGACGCACGTGCGTCCGTTCACTACCGTTCGAATACCATCGAGAGCAAGTCGACCGTTGGAAGTCGAGATAGTGCTCATCGTGTTTTCCTAGAAGGAGAAGGAGCTGTTCATGTCTGGAAACAGCCATTTCTGCCATAACGCGATTGCGAAGTCTGAACAAGCTTGCAAAACTTGCTTTCCAACAATTGAGTTCCAAGAGAAATTGCCTGAGACGCTATTAGCATGAAAAACACGACAAAGTGGTATTACGTTCGGTCGAACTTTTCCAATGTTTAAAATTCCAGTCGAATTTGAGTTAAATTAATATTGAGATAAATATAAAATTCGAGTCGAATTTTAATAACTTTAAATTTACTTCCTTTAATCCACGTTATCCAATTTTTAAGTTTTTAACAGTTGTCCTTGGCTGTTTGAAAATTGGTAAATGTGATTAATATTAAATTTTCAATATCCAAAAATTTGAGTTGAATTTTACTAACTTTAAATTTACTTCCTTTTAGAATCCACGTTATTATCCAATTTTTAAGTTTTTAACAGTTGTTTTTGACTGTTTGAAAATTGGTAAATGTGATTAATATTAAATTTCCAATATCCAAAAATTCGAGTTGAGTTTGAATAACTTTAAATTTACGTCCTTTTAGAATCCACATTGTTATCCAATTTTTAAGTTTTTAACAGTTGTCTGACTGTTTGAAATGTACGGTACGAGCATTCTAGAAATTAAAAAAATACATAGTTGAAATATTTGCGAGTAGAATAAAAGCGTTACGAACGAAATGGAATGAAAGTCAATCGTTGTTGGAAATTTTGAAACGAAAAGTATAATGGCAAAAATGACTGTTCCAGGGCGAGAAATACCTATGATCGAAGATTACCTGTATGTCGAATGTTCCATTTACGACTCCGCGACGTTTATCGACTTTCTGACAAAACGACGATTCCCCCGTCTATATTTACATCGACGTTATTCATTTCCTTGGCTTCGTTAATGTAATTCGACTCCCTTATAATCTCTAACCGATATCAGTTCGTGATATTTATATTGTGTCGATGATTCTTAAATTGCCTTCGGAGTCTGAACTTTTTCCCACTTAAAATACATATCGACGAACGTACGATCACATCGAGAAACAGTTCACCGTTTCTTGTCGTCTTTTACTAATCAAAACATTCTTTCAAATCACAGTCGACGAGTCGACAAAAAAAAAAAACAAAAAAAAACCCGCGAAACTCGCGCCCTTCGCAAACGATCGATTTCTCGCGCGTTATCGACCGAGGAGTGTTGTTTGGAGGCAAGCGTCCCCTGTTCGAAACTTAACCTGTCACTTTCGTCGCACATTTCTCGCACTCGCGACTTTACGATCCCTCGCCGTTCAACGTGATCCTTTTTACGAGCTGTCGACGAGCGTGTCTCGTACACACGATCGATCCTCGCAACGCCAGTCGACACTCTTTTCCTCGAACCTCTCCATGCCTCTCCGTTTCCTCGCGGTTCGCGATTTTCGTTCTCTACGCCGCCACGTTTCCCCGCCGCGCCGTTTCTCACAGTGTCCAGCCACGGAACAACGTACTCTCATGACACGCGAACGTCGCGTAATTTTTCACAGCCGTAATCGACGAAGATCCGTCGATGGAAACACGATTCCGTGCGGAGAGCGACAACAGCGATGTGGCATTGCTGGCGGATACACATGGAACGCGACCCTCGGCGGTGCGTCCGAACAAACAGCTGCCGTCTATCCCCTCCACCTGGACGCCCCCATCGTTCCAGCCAGCGATAGGTTCGATCGCGTTACGAGTAAACAAACAAGAAACTCATCGCCACAGAAATTCGCAAATTTCCTTTTCACACATACTCTGAGCAAATAACAATTTCTGGTGCACCCCTCGTATCAATTAACATAATTTTTGTCTCTTATTTTATAATTATACAACGTTAATTTTTTTAAACCACAATTTAAGAAATTACTTATTTTAATCTGTTTTTTTTTTTATAATTGTTTAACAAAAGTAATCATGACAATTGTAATTTATAATCGTTCGATGATTGATTATATTTCATTTCACTGAAAATTAGAATATTTGAACTGGTTATCAGGTAATTGCACCCTAATCGATGGGACGTTTTTCTAACCTAGATAACGTAAAGAGATATCGACTGTTATCTCCATAATTAAATATTATCACCGTTTTAGAATCAAATCTAACCCTCTTGTTCCGTAGATAACGTCGAATGTAAAATCGAATAATTACTGAACGCTTAACGAACAATTTATAAACATTGAAATTTCAAATTTTTAAATCGATCGATATTTCTGAGTTTATGTTCAACTCGACGCCGTCACTAGTTCCGGTATTCGCGGTTCGAAGGTAGGTAACCTTCTCCAGGACTACTTTTTATCAATGAATGGAGTTCCGATTGATAATCGAACGATTTTTACTCGGTGGAAAGTAAATTTTGAGATTTCACGAACGAGCTCGAAAATGTTAAGACCATCGTTCGTTTTGTATTCATGAAACTTGCATTTTAAGTCATGGCATTTTACCAAATCTCGATCACCGTATTTGCATTGGTTATCTATAGATTTGTTTACCGTTAGAGAAAATTGGAAATTCAAATGGCGAGTCGAGGAAGCCAAACTATTACATCATGCGATTTTCTTTTCCTCGTGTTTTCATGTATTAATACATATAACGCGAGAGAAAGGTCTTGTTGCATTTCTATCGTATTAAATAACCATAGGTTTCAATGTTCGATTTTTCCTAGAGTTCACCATTTTCTATCGTTACGTTAAACACTTGTTCCTTGTATTTTCCGTTAACTATAACTCCACATTATTTGTTTTACTTTAACACTAAATTTGACGGATGTTTGATTCCACATGTAAAATTGCAGAACGCGTAAATATTATTTTTTAACAACTCATGTTGAATTTGATCGATGCAATGGCACGAATACATATTCTAATTAAAAAAAAAATCGCACTGTAAGGTAATCTAGTGTTAAATTACCAACTACGATATGAAAATATTTTTCCTATCTCGTACGCTTAATCATAATTAATATTTCCATAAATGGCCAGGTATCGATATTTTCGAAGCGCGAATAGATTTCTAATTTTTCAGTATTTTCGATATCATAATACATAATATACTGTTTAACATGTGCCAACTACCTATTGGCGAGTTACTTTGAAAGATCGACAGAAAATGAATTTTATGCATAGAAATTAAACGTTTCGTATTTCCATGCAAATAAAACCTGTACGCGTTCCCGTTTCCGTGCTCGTCGATGTTTTCTCTACGTTTTCCCAATACTTTTAATAGACTCGATTGCCGTTAAAACATTTTCACTCGGCAATAGTCGCTGGTTGCAATCATCTTTCCAGCAAGATTCTGCCTACGACAGGTACTGTTACTTTTGCTCGCGCAATAACGACACCCAGCAGTTTTCACGAGTGGGGCCCATTAACGTCCCACGAGTCACGCCAAGATGGTAACTTTTCTTACGGGCGGAAAATGAGGGTTCGAGAGGCCAGCAACCATGATTTCTACACGTCTCGCCAAGTATACCTGGATCGTGGGCAGGTACATATATCCTCCGGTGCACAAAGCTGAGCCTCGAATGACACGTTTCCGGTGACTCGTGTAACACGTGGCGCGATCGTTCGCGGACTTTTTAAAGAAGCCACTCGCGTGTCAATAGTCGTCCATTGTATCCAAGCAACCTCGCGAGGAATGTTGACACCGGTTTTCAAAGAAAACGCGAACACTGAAAAGTCCACCTGAACGAATTACCTCGTAAATACGATCGCGTTACACCGCTGTCCGACCATTCCGGTCGACCAAACGCGAAACAAAGACACGCAGTGGTATTTTCATTATCATTCTCTGACAAAAGTATAATATAAATTCTCTCGAATAAATGGCGTCTGAAAAATTCCGAGTTTCAACGGGGAAATACAATTATTCGATTTATTTTTTTATTCGTTAAGTATTTTCAAGGTTAACTTTGTTTCTTTAGAATGGTAAAGTATAGTTTTGTTAGCAGATTTGTTATAGAGGATATTCGGCCATCCCTGGGGAAAAATTTCACGGGAGATTCTAGACTTCTAACTTCGTTAAAAAGTTATTAAAAAATTAAATTAAAAAATTTCGAATCGTTCTAGAAAAATTATATTTAGTTACAGGGGTCAATGACAATCATTTTTGATGAATAGACATATACCGGAATTCCTACGCACTTTCGAGAAAAAAATTCGAGAAGGTGTGACATTTTTCGACAAAATTAAAAAATTTACAATCGTTCTAGAAAAATTATATTTTGTTATAGGAGTCAATTAGAACCATTTTTGGTGAATAGATATATACTGGAATTCCTACTCACTTTCGAGAAAAAAATTCGAGTAGGTGTGTGAAATTTTTTGAAAAAATTAAGATTTCAAATCGTTCTGAAAAAATTATTTTCGGCTGCGGGGGTAAATTACAATCATTTTTGGTGAATGGACATACCCCCGAAATCCTGCGCATTTTCGAGAAAAAAATTCAGAACGAGCGGAAAATTAATCATTAATAACTTTTTAACGAAGCTTTCATCAACAAATTGGTATTCTTGATTTATGTCTTATTTTGGCTTCTAGAATCTCCCATTAAAATTTTTATGAAATAGATTCCAAAATATTGTTGAATAATTTGCAATATTATTTTCAATTAGAAACAATTCTAAGAAAACTAAAATTTTACTGTGTATATCTCTATGTAAAATTGTATGTTTTTGTAAGACTCCTATTTCTCAAGTCCATAAGATTATAGCAATTTTAATTTGAATTTTTCTCATGAAAGCTTAAGAGAACAATTTTTTGGAAAACCTTGATTTACGAAGGGATGAAAATGATTTGTAAAAAGTTGAGTATCTGTAAATATCCCGACGTGATAAACTAGAAGACCAGAATCAGGGAAAGTTGCTCGCCTCGTTAGGTGAAACTTCGCGAGAAAAGCTGTTCATTGTTCGATGAGGATTTCATTTCCACTCTTTTGGATGCATAAAGAACAATGCACGGTTCTGTTCGCGTGTGAGAGAACGCGTCCCTGTGAATCAATTTCCATGATGATTCTAATCGAAAAGAAGACTTCCACTCGTTGCAAACCTATACTCGAGTTTGAATAACAGAATTTTGAGAAAAATGCAAATCCTTGGCAGACCTTGTCATCTGTTCGTTAAACGTTCAATAAAAATTAAATTTTATAAATAACATTTGTGTCTGTCGATCACCAACGAGTTTTTAATTAAGTATCTTTTCTTTTTTACTTATAAAAATCGATATCGTGTTCCTCGTTTCTGTTGGTTAATTGCGAGAACATGCTGCAATTAAGGTCCCTCGAACGAAGGATTCCAAAAATATGGTGGAACGCGAGACAATGTGGGTGTACACGGGCGCGATTTACGAAATATATTTCCCAGTGGCGCGCTGGAAAATGCACACCGCTGCCAGGAAATTGCAAGTTCGTCGACGTGGACATCCTGTAACGTATTTACGTGATAAAGGCGGCCACGCCCATGGATCTAAATCTTCACAATATACGTTACGTAACCAGCCACACACGTGATTTTATCGAAAATCTTTAGAAACCTTTCGATTCTCTGCGAACCTGAAACCCAGATACTCTTCGAAACCATTTCCAACACGAATAATATTATAATTTAATTTGAAAAAAATAAGGTTACCCTTCGAATAATTTTAAAAGCGTTCAACAAATAAAAAATAAATAAGAAACTAAGAAACATTTACATTTAACGCGTTGTACTCGAGACACTTGGGTTTAAAGTTTTCAAATGAATAATGAGCTACGAATTTTCGTTCGAACCGGGATTAATATCGATTTAAAAAGCTCGTTTAACAAAGAGCCGAAACGTAATATGTATTTGATATCACAAAGACTACGATAATTGAAAAACGGCGCGCGGTAAATTCGAAATAATTCACGTTCGGTTGTTTCTCATCGGTAAATTTAATTAAAATTTCTTATTCCGCGTTCGTGATGTTTTCCCGCAGCTCGACGAGCAACCTGATCGCGTTACCGCGGAAGAAGACGTAACCCCGCGCCTCGGCATATTAATTGCCGTGAGATCTAATTATGTTAAGTATTGTTCATTAAACGAGAGATTTAAGCGTGAAAATTTTAACTCCGCCTTAGAATTTTTTTCCCCGCCTCTTAACAGACAGTAATCAATTTCCCGATAGAAAGTAAACTTTCCACGCGAGGAAGTTTACGTTGAATTTATAAGATAACAAAATACAGTGTATTACCATTCAATATTTATATGGTATATACACTGTACTGAGTAAAAAAGCTTTAGTAAACATAGATCGAAAGATCAACCGTTTTTGAGATATAAACATTTCTGTTTGCTAGGATCATGATCGACTTGCAATTAATTTCTTATTTAAACTTCTTGGTGAATACATTACCTCAGTACTTTTTTTTTGAACACCCTGTATATTATCTTCCAAGTAAATAATATTACATCGAGTCGGTTGTTCGAATAAAAGTTTATTCAGTTCGCGAAAGTGAGAAAAAATATGTTAAACGGACGATAAGTTTTTGGTCCCCCTCGACTCGTTTCGTCCGCCATTTTGTGCAATCCGCGAGGAATTCTGCCGGACATTATGCAGTCGG